CAATAGCCAATCGAATTCTCGCTTTTCCGGAAAGATGGAAAAATTATTAGTTACCGCGTCATTTTCGTTAGTTATTTCTTTCTCCTAAATTCCGATAGTGATATTGATCAATCAGATACAACAGATTTGCGTGATTGTATGTTTCTATACTTTTTATGTTTCGAGTGGAAGTGCTTTTGCTTTGAAAAGAAAAATTAAAAAAACAAAACTGGTGTAGAAAATTTAATTAGAAGAATGATCTACATTGTCATATTGTTTTCCCCACAATTGATGAATATAAAGAGAGACAATATATTATAGTCAAAGCGTATTTATATTTAAAATGTGGAGAAATAATCGTGACGCGTTTTTCTCGTGTTGATGCTCTTTAGTGCATTTCTTTCATGGATAAACCGCGAAATAATTATTTTCTAGATGGGAATGTGCAAGATACAGAAAAAGATATGCTTGCATCTCGGATCGATTTATATAGAACGAGATCTATAGATTCTAGATCTCTCAGAATCAATTGTTGAATGTCGCAGATGTTTATTCTTATTTTGCCGAGTCAGCAATGTTAGCAAATCAATGCTCATCAGTTCTCATATTGAAATTGAACTGGATTGAGTAGCGAAGTCGTTCAATGACCTATTGGCTGAGCTTGACTGAGGATAAACGCATCTCATGAAAAAAAGGAAGAAAAAAAAAGAAATTAGCCTTGCAGTTTTGACAAGAGATCTCTTCGATAACATATTGTGCTAGAATTCTTAATGTCAGTGAGATTACATTTCTGAAAGGTAATTTTTTCTGATTTATAAAAATATTTAAGTGTTTACATCTGAAAGTGTTAATAAATGAGATAATATGTTAAATCAAACTGTAAAATAATATTGTGCATAAATATAGAGAATAAAAAATGTGGATTAAATTAGAAGGTAAAATCCAATGAAAGAGAGATGTATATATATATATATATATATATATATATATATCTCGCATTTACAAGCTTTTCGTCGCGACACTTTTTTTCGTCCGATGCTTTTCATAATTTTTTCATCCATAACAATTTCATGAATTGCCTTTTCTGTAATCTGTCATCGTTAAACAATATCTCGCGAAAATGCGTGCTCTTGAATCTTCCTCAGAAGTTTTCGTCCCTCATTATGCAAATCGAATCGTATTTATTATCGCATATACTACGGTAACTGTTTCAAACTTTAGAAGCATATTTGAAAGTTTAAGATAAAGGCAAAGGTCGCGCAATTTGAAAGACGGTTTACTGAAAGGATTACGGCTACAAGATAGCGATATTAAAACAAATTTATGTGGCGCGAAGGAGAGGAGGGGGGGGCGAATGTATAAATTTTAATCAAACTTGTTGCGATAATCCGAATATATAGATTATTATATTATTATATATATATATTTCATTATTTCTCATTGAATCATCTCCTTAGCATTTTAATGTCTTTAAATGTATGCTCTCTCTTTCTCTTATTTCTTTTTAAACTGTATATTATTTTTTCAATCATTTTAGCAATAAAATTTCATAATTAAAAAAATTTTTTTTACTGTGTAAATTAAATTTGTAAATTGTGGTGCAGTAATTGTATTACAGTATCTTTATCTTATAATCTTTCATGAATATTGATTTTATATATATATATATATATATATATATATATATATATATATATATATATATATATATATATATATATATATATATATATATATATATATATATATATATATATATATATATATATATATATATATATATATATATATATATATATATATATATATATATATATATATATATATATATATATATATATATATATATATATATATATATATATATATATATATATATATATATATATATATATATATATATATACACAAAATATAAGATGTTCCAGAAAAATATTATTTGCTTTATAAAATATGACAAATTTTGAAAATATTTTTTTAATTTGTTCAAATTCTTAGAAAAGATTATTATTAGACAAAATTCATTTTTTTCTGAATATTATATATTTTTGTTAATTAAGTTTAATTTTGAAGTTTAAACTTCTTTCTAAAGAAAATAATGTTTAAAATTAATTGCAAGATTATAATCTATTTTTATTTACTAATTATTTATATTTCTTACATATTATTTATATTTCTCAAATATGATTTACACTAAAAAAAAACAGTTTTTGGTTTTCTTTTTAATTTAACTATTAATAATTTAAGAAATATAAAGTTTTTACTTTTTATCTTTAGAACATATAGTTTTTCTATATCTTTAAAAATTGTAAATTGTAAATTTTGTTATCTCTTGCGTTATATAATCCTGGTAAAAATGTTTTACAATTCTTATTATATGCAAATACATAATTATCATTGTATTAACTAAGGAAAATTCAATCTGAAAGTAGATTTAAATATACCTTTTTACTTACAAGATTGATGAGTTAGTTGTTGTATGCTGATACTTTGTAAAAATATTGAGATCTACACTTCCAAGATATTTGTTCTATAAGTTTTCGATTCTTTAAATGGGAAACAAAACAGTGTGAAACAGTTTTAATGGATCGATGCAAGAAATTTTTTATCAGAAGGTAAAGTATATTTAAATTTTTATTGAATTTATATAATTAAATTTTATGTATATTTCATATATATATAATTTTTTTTTGGCTTTTATTATTAGAGTTGTTATATACAGAGTGTCTCGCATATTATTATTACGTTAGTGCTTAACAATATATTCTTTGGTCAATTTAGAGTCGGTTTTTTTCTGTACAAAAAAAATGGGGAGACATTATTTAGCATGAATATGCCTATCTTTGTTATTACATATCTTTATAATTAAGAATCTTAAATTTAATTTTTATAAAGATAAAAAAAAAATCTATTTGAAATTGAAGATCTTATAAATATGCATATGTAAGCTGTATAAGAAAACTGTTTTAGGCGCACTGAACCTCCTCTTGATGATTTAGAGACTGAACTTGAAAGAAAAGAACGATGGAAAAGTATTTACATAATTTATTTTACTATGTTTCTAATGTCACTTGGCTTCAGTATTATACTTACTGGTGTTTGGCCATATTTAGACAAGGTTTGTATGTAGTGTACATATATGTACAAGATAATATATTGATAAAAAAATCACAAGAAATTATATGCAATATATATTTAGATATATGTTTATATCTTAGTTGGATCCTACGGCAGGAAAAGAATTTATGGGTTATGTAGTGGCGGCTAATCCATTAGGACAAATGCTGTTTTCGCCTCTGGTGGGCTGGTGGGGTAATAAAAGAGGATCAGTAAGATTACCACTTTTAGTAACCTTAGCGATGTTCACTGTTGCGTCAGCATCTTACAGTATCCTTGAGTTGATACCAGGTGACAAAAAAAGTTATATGGTTATTGCCAGATTCTTCGTTGGAGTTAGTTCTGGTTAATAAAATATTCAAAGTTTTTGAATTATATTAGCACATTTGTATATTTTATTTATTAATTAATCGCAAATATATATTACTTTTTGCAGCTAATATTGCTGTAGCAAGATCTTATCTATCTGCAGCCACAAAACTTTCAGAACGTACACGTGCAGTTTCTATGGTATCTCTTGCACAGGTAATTTTTTTTCCCATTATATTTTTATATACAATACACGGATTAAAAATCTATTACAGTTTTTTATATTATAGTTATTTATTTCTCTGATAATAGATGATCTTGTTATAATTAGCTTACCTACTTATTGTACAGAAGACAATTGAATAATTTATATTGATTGTATATGAATGACAAAGTATTTTGTAGGTGCTAGGTTTTGTGGTGGGTCCTGCATTGCAAGCTGCTGTAACACCTCTTGGAGACCATGGTGTAACTCTCGTGATGCTGCCTATAAACATGTATACGGCGGCTGGTTGGATTAATGTAATAATGGGAATTTTCAATTTTATTTTATTCCTTCCATGGTACTTCAAGGAATATAAAATTGCTATAAAAGAAGCTATGCGCAATGAGGGCACAGCTACAGGTATAATAAATTTATATTGTATTTTTATTATAATATTAATTCTCAAGTTTAATCATAATTTCACATATTTTACCCCATTTTTGGATAAAACTAAATATTTTATTTTACATGATTTTTTATTGTTAATTCTCTTTGATATTGATGGGTATGTATACTTATATAATAGAATTTATTGTATTTGCAGAAAAAGAAACGTGGAAAGCTATAAAACCTGACTATTTAGCATCATGGACTTTAATTTGTGCATTCTTTGTTTTGGTCTTTAATTTTGTTCTTCTTGAGACGTAAGTATATTTATTTTTTGATATTTATTAAGGACAATTAAAGGAAAATTGAAAATAAAGATATATATATATATATACATAAATCTATTTTTTTCTCTGGAAAACTAAAACTTTATTTATAGAGACAGTCGAGATTTTAAGAGACAGTTCAACACATTTACTATAAAATATTAAAATTTAAATAATAAATTGAAATCTTTGTCAAGTAGACAATTTTAATTAACATATATGCTATTTATATGTATAGACTCGGTACTTCTCTCACTATGGATCAGTTTGCTTGGTCTAAAAAGGAAGCACTATATTATATGGGAATATTGATGAGTGTTGGAGCTATAATAGCTTGTATTACATTTACTATGATTGGACCACTCTGTAAAAGGTATAAAATAAAACTTAAAATTGCAAATACTTGTATAGTAATAATTTATAGCATTTATAGTTATATAAATAAACGATATTATTTATATTGTATATGTATCATTAAGTAATATTGCATTTTTTTATAGATTTGAAGAACGTAAAGTAATGATGTGGGGTGGATTCTTTTTTATGTTGATTGGGCGAGTACTGTGTATTCCATGGGGCCCCAATCCTCCCCAAATTGCAGATTTTGGACGTAAGTGTATACTTCAAATTATATTTATGTATGATTTATTTTCATTTTGTTCATATTATTACACAATTATATTACACAATAATGTATATAATTTTGTAATAAAAATGTTTGTGTTGGAATATTTTGTAGCGTACAATAATATCACGGTAGACGCCAATGGTACAGAAATCTTAGGATGTCCAATTACTCAAGAATGGTGCCTGTATACTCCGCAACTGACAATTACTCAATTCTTTATCGGTTATGGCTTTACATCGATAGGTTATCCCCTGGGGGTTACTTTGATACAAATTATATTTAGCAAGATTCTCGGCCCGCGACCGCAAGGAGTATGGATGGGCTTAATGACAGGTGCGGGTTGTGCATCTCGTGTTTTAGGCCCAGTGTTTGTAGGCCTCATTTATACTCGCTTGGGCACATATCATACTTTTGGTATTACCGGCGCAATGTTGCTTATTTCCATGTTGTGGTTACAATTTGTAAGTGAACGTTTGATTTCACCGGAGGCGAAAAAAAACGATAATGCGCCGAATAGGCAAGGGAAAGATGTCGAAATTCCATTAGTTCATTTAAGGTCTGATAATACTCAAACATCGCGTGAAACTGTGAAGTTTAATGGAACATCAGATTGTGATTGCGAAAAAGTATAATGATAATAATGAGGTTGAGGTAAAGAAATTATCTCTGCAAACAATACAATATATACAACTGCCACAACATATTGTATATAAACATTAACAAATGCTATTTCGATAATGATAAGCACACACAAACTGATTTATATTTTTTATGAATATATATAGATTATTATTATGCAATCGTTAAATGCATAAATATTTTATATACAATGTTACATATTTTTCTACATATAGTTAAGAATAAGTGCCTCTATTCTGAATTCTTAGAGATGAACAATAATTGAAGATAAGAGAAAATCTATAATACTCAAAACTTAATAGTTGAATTATTTATATTTTACCAATTTTTTTTTTTTATAATAAATCCTTGAGTAATATCGTATTAATTTCAATATGATATTAGATGCTATTTTCAGACTTGGAGTATGAAGACAATAGAGGCTTGCCATAAACAATGCCAATAATGGCATACATAAACTACTCTTCCGTGAATAAAAAGTTATAACTTTAAAACAAAAAAATTCACACTTATACTAATATTAACATTATTAACCTTCTATTGAGAGAATAGTAAGAGTATAATAGAGATAAATTTTGGCACAAATTGCGATTTTTATATACAAGGATCTTAATTCTAGTAACAAGTCATTATTTTAATAATTAGAAACAAAAAGTAAATTTCTATAACAATATGTATATTCTATAATTGTAAATTCTAAGAGCACTTCTACTTTTCTATTTTTTTTATGAATTTTAAAATATGATCTATAAAGGACTTTAATAATGTACAAATTCATATAAGAATAGCACATAGGAGAGCACTGTTGTGTGTATTGTATATGAACTGCGGGTAATATTATATGTACAAATTTGTTGGGCTGTAACAGTTATTATGTGATATGAAATTTTTATTTGATTGTTTGTATTGTAATAGGTGTTTGTCCCTGCACAAGATTTGATAATCAAATGGCTTTTTTTAAAAATGTTTTTGTTGTTAATAACATAACATAATAATAATCATTTTCGCTTAAGATATAGTTTGAATGTTGGAATGTTTATTAGATTATTGTAAGATTTGCCATATTTGCATACTTTTTTATATAACATAAATGCAACATAGATCAATGCAAGAATGTAAAAAATGCGGTTTGTTTTTTCGTATAACTCGAAAAGCAAAGACACTGATCTAACTGAATAGAATTTTTACCAAATTTAGTCTTACATTAATTTAGAAACAGATATATACAGATGACAGATATTATTGTTAATGTATTAATTTTTTTAAATGAATATCTTAAACGACAATAACATATGGAATTGTAATAAAAATAATTTACATTCAATATTAGAAAATCACAAGATGTTATTATTGGGCGGAAAATGTGATAGAAAAAATTCAATGGAAATATTTGTAAAGAGAAATACGATTAATATCACATTCATAGTGCAATAAAAAATTGTAAACATGATTTAAGTAAAGATTTAAGTAAAGTTATATTTGTAAATTTATATATAACGAATTTATGTATACCAAAATTATACAGACATATATTTTTTAATATTTGTAATATTTTTAATGAATGGAAAATTATTTGAATATACTTAATAACTGGAAATCAAAATATGTATGTTGTACTTATAATTATACATATATACTCTATGTATCATATTCAAAATTAATAATAATAAAATATAAAATTATAATAAAACTTGCATTCTGTTTTATGGTTTAGCTATAAATACAGTTTTATTTCTATAATAAAAGAAAAATGGATAAAAATTCTTCGAACTTTTTACAAATCCTTAATAATATAATGCACCAACATAAAAATTTTTATTTTTATTATTTATTGTAGTAGTAGAAATTATATATATTTGGCTATCATTTCTTCTCTTACATTTCTTTGTATATACTCTTAACACGAATATAATAAAACCTTGAAACCTAAAAAAGTCTGTCATTAAAAAATTGACATATATAAAGACATTCTCATGGAGGTGATGTGTTATCACTTATAAATGCTACCGATATGATAAGAGTGCATAGTTTCTATGGATTACAAAAAATGATTAATATGTATATCTTAAGACAAATTGTAAAGCAATGTGGATTATTCATATAAATAATATTTCTAATTATAAATTAATCTTTCTTCTTTGGTTTCTTGGGATTACGTGAACGCGATTTTGCTTTGCAAAGTGGACAAATTGGTGCATTTCTGTGAATTTGTTGATGGCACGAAAGGCAAGATTTCATAGGTGGTGGTTGTTGCCTGTAAAACATGGTGGAGATAACATTTTTAATGATAAAAACGATAATAATAAAGATATATAATATTTCTTGTCTTACATAGAAAAAATGTAATAAAGAGGTCGAGATATACCAGTGGTACCTGAATGTTGGAGCTGGGGGCCCTGGGGCTGGTGGCAATGGCCTAGGTTCTGGTTTACTTGGCCCCTGAAGGGGTTGTGGAGCTAGAAAAGGTGTCGAACCTCCTGGATGTCCAGGATGATGTAGTCCAAGCGAAGGTAATAAATCGTCACCTCGTACTTCTACTCTCCATTCTGCCTTTTGCATCGGCCGTTCAAAGTAGCTATGAACAAACCGTCTACACAATAAAAGTTTAACTCAGCTCAGTCTGTAATTTCACTTTCCATTTAATAGCTGGCAGTAGATACACTTTTCACAATGGCAAGCTTAACAGCTTTGAGCCTAATTAATATACTTACTCTGGAGAGATAAGATCTGACTCGGTCTCATATAATTCTGGTAATCTTTCCAAACCTAGAAATTCTCTACGCATACGATCAATGTCGTGCTTCAATGGCTGATAGTCATTATTATGAATCAATTTTGCTGTTTCTCTTGCCCTGTTACGTGCTTCTTCTGCTTGCTTAATTACTGATTCCATCTAAAAAATATAAACTCTGTTAGCAACAAAAAAAGGAAACTCCATATACTTTAATATTTTGTATAATTTTATACTATCCTGGTATTATGCCTAGTAAAAAAAAAGAAATATAAATTTACTGCATTAATGTCTGCATGTATCTGACGCAGCTCTTCTACATGTGCCATTTTCTCCTGCATTAGCAAATCCATTTCTTGTTTATATTCTAATAAACATTTCTCCTCTTGCTCAGTTTGTTCTACCTCTTGTAATATTCTCTGTTTCAGTTTTTCCAATTGAACAGTTTTTGATCTGGAAATACGCAAAGAGAATTAAACAAGCAAATAAATTTTATGTGCAATATACATGTAAAAAGATATTACATATGACATACCTAATGTCTTTTAAAGCTTCCAGCTTTGCAAAAATTACTGCTGTCTCGGGTGCTGACATTTCGTAGAGACTGATTTCTATTAATTATATATTATAAGTTCTGTGATATTTTAATTGTATAATTTTCTTAACTCGTTGGACTCTACTGCATATTCCGTATCGGAGCAATTAGTACGAAGAAACGTGCGCACATGACAGGAATTTTATGGAAAATTATAACTGTGTAAATCGGCTTCAGTGTTTCGGATGATTTTGCAAAACGATTTGACAGTAATCGATTTGACAGGGTATCGTAAAAACAGCGTCCGCGACACAGCGTTTCATTAATTATTTTTTTCATCTACCCGCGTAAGATAGCGAACTTCGAAATCTCTCCAACGAGATGAACGTGCTGCGCCATCTGGGATGCTGGGACTCGTAATCTTGACAGGCGCTTCAATTAAAAATTTTTTTCGCTCCGCATCCTAATTTGGCAACACATATGCGGGATAAAAAATATCATTTCATTTTATTAATAGAAAATATAATATAATTATCAATTATAAAAGATGCGAAGAACTAGATAAGTTTTATATTATATATGCAAATATTTCTCAAGGCGCGTTTCAGTTTTCATCAAGGGGTATGTTCCGTTTAACGCTACGAAAGTTTCAAAGCGTTCGATGACCAATCAGAACGAAGAAATCTTTGTTCCTTTCGTCCTAATTGGTTAATGAAACGATTCGAAATGTTCACGGTGTCCAACGGAACGCTCCGAAGCGCTAGATTCTTCGTCCTAATCGGTCCATCAAACACTTTGACGCGAAAATAGTGTCAATTGACAAACGAGAGAGGTCGCGTTGAGCGGCGCGTGCGTGTGACAGGTCGCGGATTGCGCATGCATGCTTTGTATCGGCTTTGGAGGGGCGTAGAAAGGAGGCCATATTGTACAGTTGAATTGAAAGAACGAAAATAATTGTATCGCTCGCGTTCGCGCACCGCCCTTGGATTCCCTCTATTTTTGTCTCGTATCGTTTTGCGCGACGGCGACGTTTGTCCGTGGTCGCGTGCCGCGACAGCCGTCACGAGAACAACGTACGGGAGCCAATCGGCGGCTCCTGTGTGGCCTCCTGTCTCTTTGTATATAAGCCATACACATCGCGCAGTAGTACGGTTCCAACAACCCCAGAGACACCCGACTTGTCGGCTTATTAAAAGGTGCTTGTTGCTTGCTGCTTGATCGAGATGGGCACTCGGGACGACGAATACGATTATTTATTTAAAGGTAAATATCAACGCGTTCCTTTCTCTCGCTGTCTCTATATGTATACATTCGAGAGAATGCTCCCCGACCCCGATCGGTTCCCATTTCCGCCACGGTGATGCTCGTACGTCGTACGTCACTTCGCACGGACATAAACGATGGCCTGTCGTTACGATGACATCAGAGACGATGACCCATCGTCGCGCGATGAGAGAGGCTACTCCTCCCGCGATATCTCGTACCGCGGCGTCAGCGAGGCGACTTCCTCGTCGACGATTCGTCGCGTTCCGCCAATTTCTCCTCTCGATTCCTCTCCCCCCTAGCTCGATTTTGATTTTTCTGAAAAACACCCGTGGATCCCCGATTTATGCATTACGTATATAATTGGGCGAGCGCGCGCGATATACATGTGTGTATCGAATATACACGATGTATGATGCGTGTCCGCGATATTTGCTAGTACGTGTGTGAGTGCGTATGTGTGTGTGTGTGTGTGCGTGTGTGATGAGAGTAAGTGCGTGTGCCGTACGATACATACAAAATTTCTTTCGACCTTGTCATTCCGCAAAGCCCTGCATTTTCGGAAGTCACGAAAGAGAGCGAAAATTACCATGAACACTTGTCAGCTGTTATCAGTTGTTGCACTTATTTTTTTCCTTTTAATTTTATCGCAATTATCGTAAGTTGGGTTTCTTTTTCTTGTTTTTTTCTTTTTTTGAGGTATAGATTTTTATTCAGTTATTCAGCACATTAATATTCCATAGGATACTTTCATTAGGTTCGTCGATCTTTGACTTGTTAAAGATATAATGTAATCATTTAGATCTGTACATTTAGATCTGTCATTATATATGTCGTGATCAGAAAATACACTGTGTTATACTATGTACATAAGTTCAGTGTCATATTTCTTATTATTTATGGGCATTTTTTAAATATTGTTTAGTTGATTTTTATATAACTGAAATTTAAAAATGGATATGACATGACAAAACTTTATTCTAGATTTCTTTATTCGAAATGAAGGAATTAAAATATTATTATTATAATTCCTTATACAAATACATAATCTATATTGTTACATTTATAAATGTTTACTAAGAAATCACACAATAGAATGTTGACTTTACATGATCACGCATGCGCGCGCGCGCGCGGTCACACATACATACATACACACACACACACACACACACACATTACATTTATTATGTGTATATTATATAAAATATTTAAGTTTTGGGCACATGATCACGCATGCGCGCGCGCGCGCGCGTTCACACATACATACATACATACACACACACACACACACACACACACTACATTTATTATGTGTATATTATATAAAATATTTAAGTTTTGGGGGGAGGGGTTATTTTATTTTGAGCATGTGTGGAATGAAAGGAACCAATTATCTGCCAAGTCTCTGCTTGTCATGCTTTATTTCCCATAGATGACCAATAGTAATCTACAGGAAGAATATATACACACACATGTACACTAACACAATAATAATACCATTATGATGTGGCACTGATTCACTGATTCATGACAGAAACTTTTTCAGCTTTATAGAGATAAGAGAGAAGTATAATATATAATTTATTTAATTCCGATTACATATTTTTTCTCTTCTCTTCTCTTCTCTTCTCTTCTCTTTCATGATAATATGTAACACAACACACACACACACAAATACACGAACATTTTATAATTACGAATTATCATTATCATTATCTAGATAATTATCATAATGACTTTTAGCACTTAAAGCACTTGTATATAGTAGTTTTATATAGTATTTTTTAATAAGACTAAAGGAATAATTTTTTTTTTGATATGTGAACTGATATTTTTAAAGTAAAAAAAAAAAACTATTTAATAATTACTGCTAAAATAATTATCACAAAAAATATGTTCTTCTGTTTCTAAATCATTAAATAAGATTAATTATAAAATATTGATATCAGGTTTAATTTGAATTGTTTAATCAAATTTCTCTGTACTTTCAGTTGTTCTTATCGGAGATTCTGGAGTAGGGAAAAGTAATCTTCTATCTCGATTTACGAGAAATGAATTCAATTTGGAATCAAAGTCTACTATCGGAGTCGAGTTTGCAACACGCAGTATACAAGTAGACGGTAAAACTATTAAAGCTCAAATTTGGGATACAGCTGGTCAAGAGCGCTATCGTGCGATCACTTCTGCGTAAGTTTAAATTTCCATTCTCTATCAGTCATATTCAAAATGTATAAAGGCAACAATAATATGTTACAAAAAAATATTTTAAATAATATCATGATATTATAATATAATGATTATTATGAAATTGTGGGAGTCATAATTTTTAACATATTGCTATAGAAATATTGATAGACTGTAAAAAACAAAAAAACAAATTTAAAAATTAAATAATAAAATATTATTATTAGAATTAATTTTTTATAATAACAATAATAATAATAACAATAAAATTTTGTAGATTATTATTTGTTATTATTATGATATTTAAATATTTATTTTTAAATATATTTTTTTCAATTAAAGTTTTCTGAGTAAAATTTGCAATAACAATCTAATTAAAAATTAAACTCTTAATTATAAATTGAAATTAGTTATATGTTCATATCATTAAGAGAAACTTTATCTAATAAAATTGTTTGTATTCAATATATAACTAAGAAACTTTGTAATTAGATAATCTCTTGTTCAATTTTCTAAAATACCGATTATATTTAGAAAAATATGAAAAAGTAATAAAACTGAAAATATAGAAAATACTTTATTTCATGTGAAATTAGCTCGATTCGTTATAGATTTGATACATGACATGAATATTAATAATCTTTCTTAAATTATCAGATATTATCGCGGAGCAGTCGGTGCACTACTTGTGTACGATATTGCGAAACACCTGACATATGAAAATGTAGAAAGATGGTTACGAGAATTACGGGACCATGCTGATCAGAATATTGTGATCATGTTAGTGGGAAATAAGTCAGATTTAAGGCATCTGCGTGCTGTTCCAACTGACGAGGCTAAGGCGTTTGCTGAGAGGAATGGCTTGTCTTTCATTGAAACATCTGCTTTAGATTCTACTAATGTTGAGACAGCATTTCAAAATATATTAACAGGTAATAGATTTTAGGATCTTGTTTGTGATATACATATATGGATATCATATAGAGCTAATATACATTGAATTGATTGTTGAATATAGAGAACATTATATAAATCATATTAGAACTAGTAATTTTTTTTTTGCGTGGGAGGAGAAAAATGCCTTATGCATACCAAGAAGCTGGCTCACAAGGTTATGCAGGACTTGCACCTGCTAAAAAACTCCCCCTTCTGTGACTGCCTCAGGCCATGTACCAGGATCCTGAAATATGCTTTCGCATCCCACTCCTATAATCCCTTCCTACCCCAGCCCCATACCCTCCCTCCAGAACTAGTAATCTAACATCCTGGTTCTGTTAATACTTCATGTTTGTGTTGTGTTACATATATTCTTTTGCCGTAAAATATAGAATTTCCTTAAATTTTGTTACTACATGAGATATTTGGTAAATTGAAATAATTTTTGAGAATATTAAAAACTTGAGATAATTCATTTTACATACAATTTTATATCATATTTTCATAACATAAGCTTCACATGTTGACATTTGTAATCTTATGTTCGCATTTTGTAATCTTATTTAATACAATTCTTTGTTTTTGTAGAAATATACAGAATCGTATCGCAAAAGCAGATACGAGACCCACCTGAAGGTGATACAATCCGGCCACAGAACGTAGAACAAATTGAAGTTAAACCAACGATGAATGCTGAGGGAATGCGTAAGCAGTGCTGCCAGTGACTCACCTTGTTGCTTAAAATGTGTGTACACGCAAATACAGTATGAATATCACAGAAGTACAGTTGAATAATATCTAATTTTTAACGAAAAGAGATTTCGTTTATGATGCAAACAGTTTTTGGGATGATTATTTTGTATGATAGAATAGATTTACTATAAGAAAACACTGTGGTTAGTTTATTGTAAATGTTAACTTGATTGTAAATTGAGTTAATTTTAACATATATCAAAATTAAATATTGCTAAAGATACTTCTATCTCTCTCTCATGTTCTTTTCATTCCAATAATTTGTATTCTATATACTTGTTAAGTCCATATTTCGATAACAATTAAAATACTGAAACTTTTATCTATTTCTACCATATATGTATACTATAAAGTCTTACATGTTTAATTTTTTAGTAAGAAGATAATTAAAATATTTAAAATTATTATTTATTGCAGAAAATATATTATGTGATTTATACAGGGTGTTTTAAAAACATTGGATGAGTCCTTTTTTTAAATTAATATATTCCTTAACTAATTTGGAATCGATATTTTTGCAACAAAAATATATCGAAGCAATAATTTTCGACTAATTAAAAATTCAAAGTAGAGACCTTTCCATGAATTAAATTTCAAGAAAGCATATGAGTAGTAAACCATATTCTACAATTAATATTAAATAGCTTTTAAAAGAATTTCAATATAAGACTTAGTTATAAAAAATATACATAATGTTAAACATTAAAACACTGTGATAAATAATTTTTTCAACTTTTTCATCCAGAAAGATCGACTTTGAGTTGACTAAAGTATCCCTTTTGAAAAGGAAACATCCAATGGGTTTTTGGATATCTTGTATGATTAGATCAAATGTGCTATGTAACAAGATTTTTTAGCAAAGCGGTAAAAATAGAAATGATATTTATGTCTAATAATAAATATGTATTACACTAAGAATGCGTTACAAATCATCTCTAGAATAAAAAATACAGTCCATCAATATAAATTTTGAATAATAAAAAAATGGCTTTCATACATACATACATATATACATACATATATATATATATATAAATTTCAAAATATCTAAATAAACTAGAAAATACCAAAACATAATGCATTAGTTAAACTAATTTCATTTTTTTATATATTTATAATAATATATATTCCAACATTGATATTATTAATACCACGTATATTCAGTAATGTATAGAGAGAAATATACATAATATTTTCTTTCTCTCTTATACTTATTAATATTTTCTTTTACTAATTTTAAAAATCATTGTACTTCATTGGTACAAAATAATTTTATTCCTCTTTTATAATTTATTTAGAAATTGTGAAGTAGAGGAGAGAGAAGAAATTTTTTTAAATGAAAATTAATATTAAACACACATTAAAAATGTTTAATTATTATTAATCCATGAGTTTTTCTACTCAAAATTTCTTTTAAAGCTATGCCATACTCGTGTAAAACAATGGATATATTGTAAGCTTAATTATTTTTCCTAAACTATTTTCTAAACTGTAATCTCTTGAGGGTTTTTACAATCTTATTGATATAATACATATACAAAATTTTTTTGGATTGATTACTTGTACTTGAATAGAAAGTACATTAACACATCTACACATCTAAAATATATTCGAAGAAAACAACATGAAAAAGGTATGTTAATGAGCATTAGAGCCAATATATATAGTAACAGAGTACTATTTATCAGTATCAGATAATTATATGTTTCTGATACATTCATTTCTTGATTCTATTATAGTGCCATCTTTATTATAGACAAATATACAATAAGTGAAAACCATGTGAAACAATTAATAATTACCATTTACTAAACGTTCCACAATCTTAAATACATTTACTATTTAAAGTTTAAATGCTATACCAATTTCATAAAGAATTATTTGATTTTATTTTACAGAAGCAGTCATTTGGAGAAGGGAAAAATGGAAGTACTAGCTGATGGTAGATATAACAGATGCATAACAGAACAAGAGCTAAGACTATATGCGCAAGCATGTAATCTTGTATGCTAGAGAAGATTTTACTCTATCATCCTTGCGAGAGAGAGGACATCTAACCAATTAAAATGAGAGTATGCATTACATATTCGTGGAAATAATCAAGTAAGGATAAACGTGAAACAACTGTATAATGCTATATAAGCGCGAATATACAAGTGTACCAGTCTTTGTCCGCGAAAAAGATCATCTTTACTCTCTTTCTCTCTCTTTGTCTGTCTCTCTATCTGTCACGATATAAATTATGTTATAATAAATAAATGTTGTATTACTGCTTCTTTGTAATACATATAAACGGTTCTTAATGCGTAGTATGATTGTGAGTATGTGAACAGTTTATGGTCATATATGCAATGAAATATCATGAATAAGTACTTTATCACATGCACTGCATAGAAGAAACAAATACTATATGTATAAATAACGGTCTTACACGGCATGATGATAAAAAGGCAAGATGTGAAAACAGATTGTCTTTTCTCGTTGCTCACTCTCGGATCTTCGCAAATAATGGTATATTGGTCTGTATAAGCTTCTTGGCACTATATGCTTCGGGATTATTTTATTTTTACATGGAGCTTTCCACTTCAGACTTCTTATCGAATAAAACTGTATAAGAGAATGCGGTTACAAATAAAGCTATATAGTAGGCATTTTTCAAAATCTTAAAATACTGCTTTCTCTCTGTGTGGCTATACTGTAATATGTTATTGTCTCGCACATGAGTTTTTATTGTATCCAAAATAAAGAGAGTGAGTAAAAGTGTTAACAAATCAAGATGTCTCGATGGATTATGTAAAAGATATCAATGGTTTTCAAAAAGATTTACCACTTATATAATGATAATCTTTAGGAAGATTATTAAGAAAAAGCAAGATTAATAAAAGATAATTAAAGCATCGTGCGTGCGTTTAACCTGATTTATAGTACGTATAATTTATATTATTATCATGAATTATATNAAAGATGATAAGATAATCACAAGTATAATTACTATTTGATATATAGCGGGCTTATTACTTTATTATGGACTGTAACTCAGAACTGTAATGTGTATAAGCAATGTCGAAGTGACCATAGTTTTCTACAGATATCTTTTGATTCATTCTGTATCCTTAGGCTATACAAAGTACAGAATACTTAGGGAAAGCAAATTTCAATCTCCTTTATACACTAAGTAGAATAAATTTATACACGATTGAAAAATGATTTAAAATATTATAACATTGTTTCATTCTCAGTTGAATACACACAGAAGGGATATTATATGTACAATAATATATAGATTATTATTAATAATATGCTTTGTGTATTTCGTTATTTTATTAATAAAATATCAAATTTGCTTTTAAGAGTAATGTTTGTAATGTGCGTATATCCATAAATGCTTATAATTATTATTTTTACATCGTAAAAATACATTTTACAACAACATATTTACATGATAGAACTGTTGCTCCTTACAAAAAATAAAGTATCATATGTATATACTATATCTATTATTTAATAATCTATATTTTACAAAGCTGATATTTGTAATAGCAAGTTGCGGTAAAACTTGTGAAATATAACTTATTATCAGATAATGTAATATTTTATCTTATGATGTGTAGAATATTCTTGAAATCATAAAGCTATAATATATATGAAAACTACTTCTATTTGTAGTTCTCAACAAGAATAATCATTATTACATTTTGCTACTTATACATTTTTTAATGGATATTATAAGAATATTGTATACAAAAGTATTAATGTGGAATAAATACTTTAATGATTTATTAGAGTATATATTAACAAAAAATGTAGCAAAACTTATCAATATGGAATATCTACAAATATTAATGAGCTTTTATTATAAATATATAGTAAAAATATTTAAATATATATTAAATTAAGAATATAATAAAAAGTAGGCTATTATTTTAAACTATTACTTACTTAAGCAAGAAAGACTATGGAGGTGCAGGTAAGGATGCTGGCTCCAGACGAATAGTATTTTTCTGTGCATTAGCATGGTTCTTCTGTCGCCATTCAATCCATCGCAATAATTCTGGACTTTGAGAAGTATCGTTAAGATCATTCCGAGCTTCTAACTGTTGATAATATGCTTCTCGAAGCAGTCGAAAGGTCTGTACATTTTTGTATGGTAACTGTGTCATAGGATCTAAATATTTGGCAGGCAATCTATACATCAAACAAAAAAATTTTTAATTATTCAAAATAAGTACAAGAAATTGCAAGAATTATATATAATGTGATATAATCTTAAATATGAAAATAACGTTAAATAGTATCATTTTTTTACCGCGTAATTGCACAAAGAGCTTTCAATGGAGGTCTTTGTTGTGTGGATTTTTTAAACACATCCAAGTACGACTGTTCGTTTTCAAAAGTAATAAATGTACGTTCATAAAACGTTCCAGTTTCTTCAGCATGAATATCTTTCTCTTTAATGGAAGCAGGAGTTATATCTACAGATTCCTCCTTAATATCTTTTCCATCTGCTTTCGATTCTGTTCCACTGAAAAATAAGATTTAATTAGATAAATTATTTGACTAAAATGTTCAATATCCAATATTTGAAGTCTTACCTCTTTTTTTATGCATTCTCATATTTTGCTATTATAATAAAAAAATATATATGTATATACCTTCCTTCTTTTAGGGAGCCGTCAGAAGCTGTGTTATTAGAAACTATATTTACATTTTTCTCATCATCACATTCGACATTGATTTTTTCATCTTCATTTACATATGTCTCAGATAATATCATGACTGGCATAGATAATGACTGATACTTAATCATTGTTCCCACATGCGTCTTTCTCACTGATCTAGTAGTCTTTTTTTCACTTTCTAATTTTTGATACTTTTCTACAACATAGAGAATACAAGATTTAGAATAACATTATAATCTTTTTCTCAAAAACACATTCTTGATATGATATTTTCCTTCCCTTCAACGAAACTTTTCAGAAAGAACTATATTTTGTAATCTATTGTTAATTATTTGTAATCTTCTATTTAATTTGATTTATAATTTTACTCAGAGAAAATGCTTAAAGAAAATCAATTGATACTTATATTTTATTGCACATACCTAACGATTTCATGTTAATTTCTTCTGTTTGTAAGGCTTCTTCTAATAATTCTTCCTGTGTTGGTTTCCATGTATTATGTCTTATAACTTTTATCTTTCGTCTTTGATCTTGATTTCTTTCACGCAAACGTTTTTGTGTAGCTGCTGACTTTGCCGCAGTAGAACGGCGTATTGATTTTCTTTCTGTAAATAATATGTTGAATTTTCTGGCAAGAAACATTTATGTTAAAATATTTATGTTACCTATGCTATCTATAAAAATTTTATCTTGTTTTGGTTGTCTAATCTTCTTTTCTCTTGGTGTTGATTGAGTATGCAATGTAGCAGATTTAGGGTCTTTATAAGCTTTTGTTACTAATCTACGTTTCTTTTTTGGCCCCTCTTGCTCAGTATCAGAAACTGGCTCATCATTCTCGTCAATACTAAAATCTGAATCTACCTCATCTTCTGCCTCATCTTCTTCCCTAAAATTTAAATATTTATATATATAATTTCTTATAAATCTTTTTGCATCATATATGATGTTATAAATGTAATTACATACATGTAATCATTATCTTGCTCCACTTCATCAAAACCACCATACGTAGTTTTGTAGAAATCGTCTTCCTCTTCCTCATTTAACAATCTTGCCATTTTATTGCCAGCGTTTGCACGCTTTTCTCTTGCCGCAGCCATGGTTATAAAATTTTCCTATTTGCTTTTGATGCAATTAATATGTATTGTGTATTTGACTTGAAAGAATGTCAGAATTTGAATAACATGTACACACACACAATCAATATTATATTGTTCTTGTCATTGATAAAGTATTCCACTTATACACTTGTCAAGCATGTAAATATTTTTTTTATAAAGTGCTTCCAATTTGAAGAAGTTATTTTGCATATAAGAATACACAGTTTATAGGTTAGAATATTGCTACAGGATCTTTAAAATCCTATTTTTAATCTTCTTAGTAAATTATATATTTGCATACAAAGCAAAGCAAATATTACATTATATCATCCGTTGAGAAAGTATCACTAATGATTATATTTCGACATTGATGATTTTTTCTTCAGCTAAGAGCCGCATATACATACAATACAAACACATTTTTATCGTTTTGCATCTTTTTTATATCATCGATGTGTTCGACAATCTACTCTCTCTTATCGGAATAGAATAACAATTTAGTTGACCAATCAAGATAAAAGAAGGAAAGATTTCTTTGTTCTGATTGGTCAATCCCGACGAATAGATTTTTTGAACGCAGCTCTCTCTTCCTATGTCATGGTAAGATACGCAGAGAATTTTTTTTTCAGCTCTCAACATTGGTATCCCTAAATCCGGAGCTTCGTACCGTCACCACGCGGGGTCTCCAAGATCAGTTCAGAATTTGCCGCGCAGCAAGCATTGTTGCTTCTGTCCTGTGTTGCCCTGTGTACAGAAGCCATTACGAAAGGAGGCTCGGGCTCGGTGGCCCCGGTGGCCGCTTTCATTCTTCTCTTTGTTATCGCAATGAGGCTTTGACTATTGATCTGACACGGTCGGTCAAGTAGGACAGTGTCATGGCGTGATAACAATGACCGAGAGTACGTTTCTCACTGAGGAATCCAGTAGGAAACCCAGTATGTGGGGCGGATTTCGCTGCAACAGAGCATTCGTGATACTGTTCCTGCTAAATGTCATCGTATTCCAAGCTATCGTATGTGAGTGCTCGTCTACTTAGCCCGCGCTATTTTCGCTTCTATCACCGTACGTATGCCACGAGAAGATCAGCTGTCTGCACGCGTGGAGATGCATGTGTCGCGCGTGTGACAGAACCGAGGGCGCGCGATTCGAAACTGTGAGTTCGATTGTCGTAGGTTGTTTATAGTTCTCTTTGTTTCGTCGGAATAATACGCAAACTTTTGTGTATAGTATAAATTAACTAAGCTTTGTGGAAACCAAATTAATTTACCAAATTAATTATATATATATATAATAATAGGACGATTATAATTGTTAGCACATTGATATTTTTGGAGAATGATGGATACACATATTATTATTTTAATATTTGTTTATAAATCCATAAATTTACAAAAAAATGTATACGTCCTACTAAATATAAAGAATAAATTATTATAAAGCATTATATAACTTGTAAGAGACGAGATATTTTAAAAATAATTAAAGTATATATGGTAAAAACAGTAGATATTGTGTGAATTTTAATATTCTTCTGAATGATTTTTTTTTCTTGATTAATTTCTATGCAGATTATCAAGAACACAAGAAATGGGAGGAGATAAGATCCGAATTGGAGCCGATGATAGCGGATCTGCGGGATATGCAGGGTCTGACATTCAGCTTGCTTAAGAGGCTGGAGGCACACGGCCTTTTCGTCGAGAATGTCCGCGGACAAGGGGACGATAATCGGCCTGTCATCTACGCGATCACGCCCACGTTCGCCAGGCCCGTGCAGAAAGCCGAGCTCACTCGACTGGCGCAAACATTCCTCCACGTGCCCAACTTTCACTGGATCCTCGTGGAAGACGCGCCGCAGAAAACCTCTCTGGTTACCCGGTTTCTGGAAACCAGTGGCCTGATCTACACCCATCTGTCGGCGACGACCCCGCCGAACTACAAGCTAGGCAGGAATGACCCGAACTGGAAAAAACCGCGTGGGGTCGAGCAGCGAAACACGGCGCTAAGATGGCTCAGGGAGAATCTGAAGCCGTCCGACAGAGGTGTCGTTTACTTTGCCGATGACGACAATACATATTCCATTAAACTCTTCCGCGAGGTAAAGGCAGTTTGCTCCGGAAATTGAGTTTTCTTGAATAGGGTCTTGCGGCTGCAATTATTTGTATTACTACAATTATATTATTTCTTTTTTTACAGTCCTCAGAAATTTAATTTTTATATATGTAATAAAAGTTGCATAAAGAATTTCAATTATTATATTTTCTCGAATGTCTAGAGAGCAAACGTCAAATCAATGATTAAAGCATTCTAGAAATCTCAAACTGTGATCTAGCAACTATTGGATATATCATATTTTTTTATAATTATTGCTTTCAGATGGAGAAAATACAAAGAGTCGGTGTGTGGCCGGTCGGTTTAGTTGGCGGTTTAATGGTAGAGAAACCTATTTGTGATAACGTTACTAAACAGGTACTCGGTTTTAATGCGGCGTGGAAACCGGACCGGCCATTTCCAGTCGACATGGCGGGTTTTGCCATTAATCTCGAGCTGTTACTCAAGCACAAGGACGCGTGGTTCTCGTACGACGTGCAAGGTGGTTATCAAGAGAGTGAGATACTCAGGCAAATAATCACGAGGGATCAGTTGGAACCATTGGCAGACTGTTGCACAAAAGTATCGATCGATCTATCTGGTATCTTTTTAACGATTTTTCCAAGATATTCGTGTGAAACTTTGCATTTTGTATATTTTAGGTGTACGTGTGGCACACGCGAACGGAACCGCCTCAGTTAAACGTCGAGCAGATGTTAATCAAAAAAGGCAAACGTTCCAACGTCGGCATCGAGGTATGAAAAGATTGCTAATTTTACGAAGCCGTTACAGCGCTGTCTCGATTTTTACAATAAATTATTATATATTACAATAAATTCGATGACATCGATCTTAAGCTTAGGAAAGATAGGATAAACTTTCGTAAACACCTTTTTTATTATGAGCCTTACATATATATTCACACGTAGAATAATACAGTGCCATACTGTATAGCCGCTTGTAGCTGTGCGAATACACAGTAGGGAGGAATAGGGAAGAATAAAGAAATATTACCGAATAGTTCTGACGACTTAACCAAATTTTGAAGAATCATGTGATATCGCGGTGTGCTTCCTTGACTACCAATTTGCACGCCGCTGCGATATTGTCGTTTCGTCGGGATGGGTCAACGATTTTTTGTCATTCATTGAAAACACGATTGCTATCTCGTTATAATACGTCCACGTCGTTTTATAAAAAAACCGATTATTGTATAATAAAATTTCTGAGGATAACGAGAGAGGCGCGGGTTTTTATCTAACCATCCATCTTTTTTTGACCTTGAAAACATTTTTTTCAGTTTTTATTCGAGAGCACGTGATTTCTCGTCGCGTGTACAGAAAAAGCATACATAAAAAATACGCCTTACATCTACGAAACTTTAATGTAATATTCGTAATAATCTCCAAATTGGAAGATGCGCAGTAATACTTTTTGTGGGAAGCTATTTGTTAAGGATTATGACTTTTGGCAACGGATACAAAATAGCTAGGTGTGCTAGAAACGGTGACGCGTCTCGCCGATGCAAAGTGCCGCGCGAATGTCCTGCGGCTCTCATTTCTTTTTCCATATACATATATCATTCTCATGTATAATATATATATATTTTTTATATATGTATTCATTGACTCTTACGTGCTAATAAGTACTATGGTATTTGGCAAATTCTGTCTTATGTAAAAAAAGCTACTTGCACGGAAAGCGTGTTCGCGTATACGAGGCGACATGTCAATTTTGGACATACAATATTAACAAGATGCAATTCTGGTGTCTGATAGAAATGTACTATTTGTTTTATATTGGGATTCTGTACGGAAATGTAATATAATTTTAGATGATTGATATAATCAACAATAGTTGAATTTAATGTCAATGGTATCTAATTTATCCTTTTTAATTTTAGAAAAACGGAAAGTAAATTACACCTTAAAGCTTAACCAGCGTTGATAAAATTTTCCATTAGAATCCGCAGAGTACCAGAATGAAAAATGTCGAAATTCAATAAAGTCCATTGCACTTGATTGTACAGCAATCTGATAGAGCGCGTTATTCTTCCTCGGATAAATTCGTCCACATCAGCGACTTTTTACGAGAGAACACGCCTTCCGTGCTTGCGCATATTCTCTAAACCTACCAAGACTCTCTCTTAAGATTTATACTTCTTATAGTTAAGGGAAAACGTTTACAAGCATTTACAAAAACTTATCACATTTTTAACTGCGTTTCTTTCTGCAAAAGCCATCTTAGACATTACGATAAGAGAGTGGTATAATTTTTTTGTTCCTTTACTCGCTATTCGGATATAATTAATTATATATGGCAGCTTTTCCGATATTCATTCTCGCATTCGGATGACTGACCGAAAATCCGACTGGCAAGCCTCGTGCGTATCTCAATACTTGTCACGGTAAATGCCATCTGCATTTTGATTAAACTATACATATATATTCAGAGAGACTTTTTTTTTAATGTCAAGGTAATACATCGAGATCTCCGCGTCAGAAGTCTATTATAATTCGCGCATCGATTATTTAATGCTGCTCGCGAACGTTTCGGCTGCCTGTTACATATCACGAATTCGAACAATTGCAACATGATAATCATATTGACTTCTGCAATACAAATACAGAGTTGCAAGAACCGCCCAATTTTCATCTTGCTCATTTTACTACATCATGTCAATTTTATATAATAAATACATTTTCCCTTATAAAAGTAAAAAAAAAAAAATTTTACAGAACGCGAACGTTGCATTCTTGTTATTGTATACTCCTTAAATGCAATATTTTCTTTCGGAACGGAGTGTTTCCTTTCCATCTTTTAAGCGCAACAGAGTACGACTTTCCGCGCGACTTTCTTCGTGAAGTCACGCGCGACAAAGGGACGCGATACTACCCAGCGTACTAGACTGTGATAATCTAAAAGGTGCCTCGAAGCGTTCATCACTAAATCGGCCTCTATCAATTTCACGATGAATTATTTTTTTTTGTACATTCCTCTTCTTCTCGCGCAAGCGATCTACCTACTCCTCGTTTCCTTGCAATACGCTAAGTTACAATTATGTTCATAGCTTCCTCCTAAAAACAATCATTACCAAGTACATCTTGTTCACTTTGCACTTCTCGTTTTCGTAAGCTATCGATTATCTGTACTCCTTCAGTTATGCTTCGGCGAGTACACTGACGGGATAAGAGAGAGATTGTTTTTACATTCGTGAGAGGGACAAACCTTTTAAACACCGGACATATTCATAAACGAAAAATGTTGGGCTGAATTTTATGTTAAGAATTCTTTCCTCCCGTTCTCTAACATTACTTTCAATCGATTATGATTAATTTATTAGAATCCTTTCCTTTACACGCATAATTGAAAAAGAATCTTTTTGAATGACTCAAAATATGCTGGATATATCTATCAGATTTTCCAAGGTTTGTTCTCTCTCTCTTCTTGGCTTACGTTCGAAATTAGACGCGCAGTGAGAACTTTGCAACAAAGTAGTTGACGAGGGACAAGTTCGCCAATAACGCGGGAAGTGTTTCCGAGAGGGATTCGCAAGGAAGTGTAGGAACAGGCGGTACACGAGGTAAGAGGCGTCGAAAGGGGAGAAGGAGAGGCGGTTCGGGCTGCGACCGTGAAATCGCGCACACGTTTTGCGTGGGCAAAACGAAAAGCAGAGCTGAACGGCGAGAAAGCAACCGCGAGAGGCTCCGTCCGGGCAAAATTCCGGATATAGCGACTCGCCAAAACTCCCGTCGTCTTTCCGCAAGCGGGCTCGCGAACGATCCGCTCTGCACGTTTTTCTTTCCTTTTTGTTTTTCTATTTCTTTTTTTTTTTTCGAGAACACTTTAGCCAGAAACCGCGCTGCGCTTTCCGGAACGGATTTACAATCTAGTACGCCGGAAGAATATCTAGACGGCCGAGTCTTTGCCGACGAAGCCGGTCTTGGAGATGGACCTCTTGCCGTCGAAGGTGATTGAGGTCTCCCGGCGCAGTCCGGAGTCGATGATCGGCGTTATCTTCTTCTCCTCCTTCAGCGGCTCCTTCTCGTCTCTGGAAAAGCATCGAATGCAATATTAATCGGACGACCGTGACTTCATCGGTTGTCGGATTAACTTCTAATACCGGGCGACAAAAAAAAAAAAAAAGAAAAGAAAAGAAGAGAAAAGAGAGCATGTCCATATATGCGGCGCGTGGTGCGACATCGAATATACACGTCAGGCATGCTTGTCACTCGCAAAGTAAGAGAAACGTCGCAACGAGAGGCTCCGGAGAAAAAAAAAATAGATGCGCGACTCTTTATGCACGGGGTATATATGCTACCTTTTTCAATAAATCCCGGAGAATCCGCGCTTATTACGCCGAGAGATGCATTTGCGCGCGAACATGTACAAAGTACGCAAGAGATGAAAAAAAGAGAAGTTTATGAGGAGAAAAAAAGAGAATTTTCCCTCTATATTTTTTTATTAAACCTATAGTTTTTTCAATTGTAATTATGCTTCAAATCTTTTTTCAATTTTTTAACATTTTATTTTTAATGATTAATTTTTCTTTATAACTTGTGCTTTATATATGAGTTGCGCGCATTTTCGAGGATATAAAATTTATAAGCCACACGATTAAATAAAATCCCTGACAATTTTTTTCTTCGAAATTATTTAAAATACGAATCATTGCGCGAAACAGTGGTATATATTTTCTCCGTTTTCAAGAAATCGAGCTTTCTCTCTCGCATTCTTACCTTCTCTTCTACGCATCACAAATATGTAAAGAATTTCCTCCTTCTATCTGTCAATTTATACCACTATTCCGTTCAAATTACATCGAGTTATTATAGCGATTCGAGTATTTTTGCACCGCTATTCGCGCTTCGTAAAGTACGGAACTGGCAGGTCGGAAAAAAGATTCGCGTGCTTGCGGTGACGGAATAGACTAGAAAGAATGAAGAATGAAGTGAGCATTACTTTAATTAAGTGTATCGTGCATGCGGCATGGCCAAAGCTCAGGCGAGTACCGGCGATTTCTATGCGCAAAATTGAACAGAATTATAAGGCTACGTGTTCGCTCGAACGCCAAACTAATCCAGTTAGTATAAATCATACAGTTAGTATTCAAATCATACCATTGAGAATCATTTTCAAAATTCTACGTTACTTACGAGCAAAACAAATCTACGAATTATGAACCGTGAATTAAAACAGCCTTCTTTTTTTTTTTTTTTTATTGTAACTTGAAAAGTTAAGATAAACATTTCCTTTTACATAGAAAAAAGTTTTCATCTCTAACATATTGTAAATAAAATAAATAATCCGCAATTCATATTAATTTTTTTTCTGATTTTATAAGCTTACCATTTTTCCCTCTCTTCTACAATTATTTTTATGCGCTTTTATTTCGCTCCAAAAAATGATAAACAAAACATGTAGTCCATTAGACTGGTTGCTATTTCGTCCAAATTATCCGCAACCCGTCTCACAGAAATTAAAAAAAAAAAAATAAAAATAAAAATAAAAATAGAGAATGTTCCATCAACTATATAGCCACGAGCGAACACGCAGCCTGGCGCAAGGCAAGAGTGTAAAAAAAAAAAATCAACGTGTTGCAGTACGAAGAGTGGTTGGCGGCACAAAGAATGCGTCGGATCGAACCGATATTTTCTCTCATGCTCATCGAATTCCCTTTGATGCGTATCAGGACTTCCCTTACGAGACGGTTCATCCCCGAACGCCGCTGGGCGAATTCAGCGATGGGCGACTATCGTCGTTGCGGGAAGTCAAAAAGAGAGGAGAGTCGTTGAAACAGAGAGAGAAAGAGGGAGAAGGAAACAGAAAAAAAAAGAAAGAAAAAAAACTTCATGCAAAGTGGAAAGCCGTGTCGGAGCCCCTTCGTGAGGAGCCATGCTTCTTACTGATTTCGCTTATAGATCGTTTTCTCTCTTACATGGCAGTGTGTTTGACCAATCTAATGGTATTTTTTCCACTACCCGAGTCTTGGATGGCCGTGACCCCGGCGACATTGGCCATTTTTTGGTCGCAATACGGCAATGGAAACCGCCAACCGTAAAGACTACCGATAAAAAAAGAAAAAGAGAGAAATACGAGAGGAGTTAAAGTGTTGTCTCACACTGTCTAGCGGCGGGCTACTCTCTCAAACGTTTGATATCGCGGCTCTACCACCGTCATCGCATCCGTTTACCATCCCCTTACTATCTCGCGTCTTCGACGTGAGGACAAATCCACGAGCTACGCGCATGTAATCAAGAATTCGTGCAACAATCCCGAGAACGCGCGACAAGTTTCGGGCTATCGAATTATCTCGGACGAATGACGTAAGAAAGAAACGCTCCGAAATGTGTCAACGAAAGTTCGACGACGGGTGCAAAGTTTCGATAACGCGATAAAGTAGCGCTAGACTTGCCAAAGCACAATGTAGAGTACATATGTAATAGTATGAACGAGATGCGGTGTGTAGATTGTATATAGAAATATATATATCCAAAAAAGAGTATATATCTCGTAAAATACATTTACATATCAAATACCAGCAATTCGGGATACGAGACTCACCTGCCGAGCTTCGCGTCCTCCTCGTCGACTGGTTTCCGCCGAGATCGTTCGCATATGATGTAAATTATTCCTGTAACGCATAAAAAAAAACAAGAGTATAGACGCAATACATATTAAAATCATCAACAATTAAAACACGACATCAAGTGCAATAGTTTTATGATTAATCGCATTCAATTTCTAAATTCATTTTTTAATGTATTTTTCTTACTATTTTTTTTATATTCAATAATAAAATGTCGCGTTCTTCAATTTTTGCAACAATATTGCACGTTCAGAAATTCTCTACGAATTCATCTGAAATAAATTTGGAATCTCGATATCCGCTTTAAAAAATTCACATCCTACATTATCTTCATTAGCCGAATGCAAATTCAATTGTGACATCAAAAGTGACATATTTAATCATAATGATTAATTTCGAAGCTTCATAATTGAGTCATAATCAGCGCGATCAGCAAATAATTAGCGATGAAAATAATGCCCGTAATTAGTACGATGATAATTGACAACACGAGTTGTGAACATACATATACGTACGTTCCCGTTACATACATTATGCGAGAGAGAATTTATCAATGATCTATTCGGTACAGAGCGGCGAATGATTTAATGCCAGCTTACCTGTCTTGCGCACGCAGCAGAAGATGGCATCGATGATGATGAAGATGATGAATATCGTCGCAATGACAATGCCGATTACGGCCCCGCTTGTCAGCAACGGGCCCTGATGCTGCAGCACGCTCGTATCTGTACCTTGAAAGACGATAAAACCATAATCGTTCAAACGTATCCGTCGTACGCGCGCGCTTATATATATTTATGTATATATAATATCGCAGTCCGTTAGTGCAAAAGCGATACGGAACGATGTCTGGTGATGATTGACAGTTGTGTTCGAGAGGATGGACTGAGATCGGTGTCTCATCGCGTCGCAAAGGCGGTTGCGAGAGAGCGAGATGAGAAAACGTACTGGTACGTTTCTTTTTTCCAAAAAATACAATAGAGGCTTCACTGTTGCTTCGTATAAAAATAATTGAATTAATTAATTAATACGAGAAAATTATCGGTCGATTCTTGATTCGCTAAATATTTTTTGTATCTCTTCGAAAGAAACTTTTTAAGCTTGAAATAAACGATTTTCGAAATGTGAGTATGAGATAATT